CATCTAGGGATTGGGCCTGCCCTCTGCCACCTGGGAGCAGGCCTAAGCCAGCAGGTCGTTATCTCCTGAGGGGTCCAGACTGGGAGAGGGCACAGGCTGGGCTGAGGGACCCCCTCTCCCCGCCGAGTGCACAAATTTTTGTGCACCGGGCCTCTAGTTGGTTAATAAAATTATATAGCTTTCAGGTGCACAATTATATAATACATCATCTGTACACTGCATTGCATGTTCACCACCTGAGGTCTAATCCTCTTCCGTCACCATATATTTGACCCCCTTTACCCATTACTACCTCCATGTTTTGATAGTCAATCACGTCTCCTGCCAACCGAACATGCGGGTGCCCGTTTCATACTCTCCATCTTGATGTTTTCACCAAATTAATGGGTGAAAAATGGCACCTCATTTTTCAAATTTTATTTTTCCTGATAAACTATAATATGGTTGATTAATTTTCTAGGAGTTTTTGACCACCTGTATTAGACTTTTGTAGTTTTGTCCCATACACCAGAAGGTGGCAGGTTCAGTTCCGGGTCAGGGCACATACCCAGGTTTTGGGTTTGATCCCTCATTGGGGCACGTGCAGGAGGCAACTGATCGATGTACCTCTCTCACATCAATATTTCTCTCTCTCTCCCTCCCTTCCTCTCTCTAGGGTTAATTTATTATTATTATTTTTTAAATCCTCACCCAAGGATTTTTTTTTTAAGACAGTGGAAGGGAGAGGGAGAGACAGAGAGAAACATGAATTGGTTGCTTCCCGCATGCCCCCTAACCAGGGTCGGGAGCCTGCAACCGAGGAACATGCCCTTGACCGGAATCGAATCCGGGACCCTTCAGTCCGCAGGCTGATGCTCTATCCACTGAGCCAAACAGGCTAGGGTTTTAGATTAATTTTAAAAATAAAGAAAATATAAAGTTGGCTGTGGCTTTGAAGTATTAAAAAAAATTAGGATTAAAAAAACAACAACATAAAAATCAGTGGAGGAAATGTCCTCAGATAAGGATTAACAACAAGAATTTAAATATATTTTACCATCCTATCCTATATAATAAAAGGGTAATAAGCAAATTGACCCTAACGGCAGAGCGACCGGTCGACCAGTCACTATGAGGGACACTGACCACCTTTTGGTCCGATGGCGAATGGGGAACCAGGGGTGTTTGGCGGCCGGGGGTGGGGCCAGCAGTCGAGGAAGATGGCCCTGATGGCAGGCCAGGCTTAGGGACCGTACCCGTGCATGAATTTCTTGCACCGGGCCTCTATTATAAATATAATTTGCATGTCCATATATAAATTAGGGTCCTTAAATCTGTTATATACACACCTAGTCTTTTTTCTTAGTTTGTCATTTGCCCTTTTTTGTTGTTGTTAATCTTTAACTGAGGGTATTTCTTCCACTGTTTTTTTAGAAAGAGTGGAAGGAAGGGAGATAGACAGAGAGAGAAACATCGATGTGAGAGAGACCCATTGATTGGTTGCCTCCTGCACGCCCCCAACTGGGGCCAGGGATCAAGCATGTAACCGAGGTACATGCCTTTGACCAGAATCGAACCCGAGACCCTTCAGTCCTCTGGGAGATGCTCTAACCACTGAGCAACAGGCTAGGGTTGTCATTTGCCTTTTAACTTTGTTTACAGTATCTCTTAACATCCAAAAGTTTCAAATTGTAATTTTCTCAAACCAGCCAATCTTTTCCTTTATGGATTAGGGGTTTATGTCTTGCTTTGGAAGACTTTTCATACCCCAAGATTATAAAAAATGTTCTCCCATTAAATTTCTTGTAACGCTTTTATTGTAAAAAAATTTTTTTTTGGTTAATCCTCACCTGAGGATATTTTTTCCCATTGATTTTTATTCCCATTGATTTTTAGAGAGAGTAGAAGGGAGGGAGGGAAAGGGGCAGAGAGGGAGAGGGAGAGGGAGAGAGAGAAACATGGATCAGTTACCTTCCTTATGTGCCCCAATCGAGAACTGAAACCACAACCCAGGTATGTGCCCTGACCAGGAATGGAACCAGCAGCCTTTTGGTGCAAAGGACACCGTTCAACTAACTGAGCCACTCTAGCGGGGCTATTGTACTTTTTTCCCCCCAAAATTTATTTTTATTGATTTCAGAGAGGAAGGGAGAGGGAGAAAGAGATAGAAACATCAATGAGAGAGAATCATTGATTGGCTGGCCTCCTGCACACCCCTTACTGGGGATCAAGCCCACAACCTGGGCATGTGCCCTTGACTGGAATTGAACTCGGGACCCTTCAGTCCGCAGGCTGATGCTCTATCCACTGAGCCAAGTCGGCCAGGGCTATTGTATTTTTAAAAAAATCACTTGTCAGGATTTTCATTTTGCTTATGGTGTAAGAGAGGGGTTCTTTTTTTCCCCCCAATTGGAGAACCAATCTATGGTCTTTAGAGAGCCAGACATGGAATTAATTGTTCAGCTAGATTTTATGTCTAATTCATAAGTGATTAGTAGGGTCCTGGGAATTTGATCTACGTTACCTGCCTTTGTGCCTACATCCCTACAAGAAAGACAGTAGGACCCTATTTTACAGATGAAGACATTGAGGCCAGAGAGAGGCAGTGCCTGGACCCGGCTCACAGAGAGTTCATGGGAGGAGAAGGGGAGGGCTGAGAAGGCTGGGGGAGAGGAACGACTCTCGGGATCGAGCCTGACCTGGCTGGGAGCCTCGATCTCACCTCCAGGCAAGGACCAGGGTGCAGTCTGCCAGGATGCACATCTTCGCCAGCTCCTTGAGGGCCTGCTGAGGATCTTTCTGGGCAGAGGAGAAAATCAGAATGAGAGACCTGGGAGAAAGCAAGGCATGATAGTCTTGAAAACACAGTGGCTTAGGATGCCAGGAACCTTCCATTCAGTTGACACTCCGTAAGCTCCTACTGGGCGCCTGGCCTGTGCTGGGCAGTACCAGGACCCAGCAGTGACCGAGACAGCCCTGGCTCTATCCCCCTGGAGTTCAGTCTGAAGAAGGGACAGACCCATCCTCAGGCAGTGAGGACCCAGAGTGGCCAGAGCTGAGGGGCTGGGGCGGGGAATCCAGGGGAACCTATGACCTGGGTGAGCTCAGGGAGAGCTTCCGAGAGGAGGAGACGTCTGAGCCGGGACCTTACGGAGGATGAGGAGGAGTACAGGCAGCACAGGGGAGCAGAGAAGAGAACCTCAGACATAGGAAGAGCATGTGTAGGGATGGGAGGAAAGAGAGGGCTCGAGCAATTGCAGTCACTCAATATGGGATGGAGGGTGGGAAAGAAAGGTTTTTGTTTGTTTTGTTTTTTAATATATGTTATTGATTTTTTACAGAGAGGAAGGGAGAGGGATAGAGAGTTAGAAACATCGATGAGAGAGAAACATCGATCAGCTGCCTCCTGCACATCCCCCACTGGGGATGTGCCCGCAACCCAGGTACATGCCCTTGACTGGAATCGAACCTGGGACCCTTCAGTCCGCAGGCTGACGCTCTATCCACTGAGCCAAACCGGTTAGGGCAAGAAAGGTTTTTTTAAAAAATTGATTTTAGCCCTAGCTGGTTTGGCTCATTGGACAGAGCGTCGGCCTGTGGACTGAAGGGTCCCGGGTTTGATTCCGGTCAAAGGCACATGCTCGGGTTGTGGGCTGGATCCCCAATAGGGGGCATGCAGGAGGCAGCCAATCAATGATTCTCTCTCATCATTGATGTTTCTATCTCTCACGTTCTCCCCTCCCTTTCACTCTGAAACCAATAAAAATATATTTAAAAAATAAATTGATTTTAGAGAGAGGAAGGGGGAAGGAGGGAGGTGGAGAAACATCCATGTGTTGTTCCACTTATTCATGCATTCACTGGTTGATTCTTGTATGTGTTCTGACCGGGGATCAGACCTGCTACCTTGACGTATTGTAGTGACACTCTAACCAAGGGAGCCACCTGGCCAGGGCAAAAGAAAGGGTTTTCACACGGGAGCTTGGGCATGAGCCCAGAGAGCTGGGCAAGCGTGGGGACACAGAGAGCGTCCTGGGCCATGGTGAGCACTGGGAAGCCACTTAGGGTATTTTTGGTTGTTGTCAATCCTCACCCAAGGATATTTTTTCCACTGATTTTTTAGAGAGAGTGAAAGGGAGGTAGGGAGGGAGGGAGAGAGAGAGAAACGCTGATGTGAGAGAGACACACTGATTGGTTGCCTGACTGGGGCCAGGGATCGAACCTTCAGCCCTTGACCAGAAATCAAACCCGAGACCCTTCATTACGTGGGCCGATGGTCTAACCACTGAGCAACAATGGCCAGAGCCCATTTAGGGGTTTTAACACCAGACCTGTGCGTTAAGAAGACCCCTCTGGCGGCTATAAGGATGAGAGGGGTCAAGGCTGGAGGCATGAGACACTTGCATTTCTCCCTGGAAGGGGTTCAACAGTCCCCTTGGCTACCCGGAGGCCCAAGGCTCCCGCTGCACAGGCGGGGCAGCGAGGCTGGAGGAGTGAGCCCTGCTTACCACGTCCACCTGCACCAGCAGGACCCGCAGGGCGAAGCTCTTGCCCAGGCTCTGCAGCCGCTCGTGGATGTAGTCCGGGTGGAGGTTGTGGTAGCGGAGGCTGGGAAGGGGAGAGGAAGCACTGAGAGGTCTCGTGGCCCCGAGTTCCGGGGAGCCCTTCTTCACGCTAACACGCAGGGAGCTGGGGCAGCCTGGCCAGAGCTGAGGCTCGGAGAGGGTAAGTGGCCGCTCCCTTGCAGGAGGGGCAGAGAGGGGTTTGCAGCAGCGGCTGCCTGGCTCGGGCTCCCTGCAAGGTTGGCCCCAGGGTCTTCACTGGGAGGGGAGACTGGCTTCAGGCAGAGGAGACCAGTGCCCTGAAGAGCAAGGCCAGGACCTGCATAGCTGGTCTTGGGAAGCAGGGGCCACCCCAGGACTTTGGCTGGTGGGGGTGGGGGGCTTCTGCACCTGGGAACCAGGGGACATCCCTGCCCAGGAGCCGCCAGCTCTCATGCCTACAGGGAGGCCAGCAACTCAGAAGTTTCACTTCCCCTCTGCCTCTGTCTGGAGAAGGGCTCCGGGTTTAATGGGGGTGTGGGTGGGCGGGGGAGGTCAGGGAAACCTGGCTCTTGTCAACTTCAGTCCTGGATGTTGGAGTCACTCAGTCTGGGCCATGAGTGACCCGGCCCCCAACCTGCTCAGACACAGGAGTCTGGGCCCACAGCTCTTGTCCGGGCGCCCCCAGGCCCCGCCTCTTCCTCCCACCCGAGGCCCAGAGCGCACAGGGCCATGCCTGGCGGTCTCCTGGGGAAGAGCCTAGAAGACCAGTGCACACCCCCCCGTGTCCTCCTGAGGTGGGACAGCCCCAGAGCTCACCTGAGGAAGAGGGCACAGGTGCTCTGACCCAGCACGTAGTCAGGAACCACGTCACCGAATTCCCAGGGCACGTTGCGCACGAACTTCAGTACGGGGTTGCCCCTCTGGGGAGGGAGGGAGAGCAGAAGCCATGAACAGGGATGACCCTGGAGCCACGGCCACCCCAGGGCCTCCTCCCCGCCACCTCTCTCAGCACCTCTCCACCCTTCTCCTGCCCTGCGCCTGGGTCTTGCAACTTCTCTCTCTTCCTCTGCCTGGCCAGTTCGGCTCAGTGGTTAAGCATTGAACCATGAACCAGGAGGCCAAGTTAGATTCCCTGACACCCGTGAGGAAGGAAGAGGGAGAGAGAGATAGAAACATCAATGATGAGAGACAATCATTGACCAGCTGCCTCCTGCACGCCCCACACTGGGGATCCCGGGCATGTGCCCTGACCGGAACTGAACCGTGACCTCCTGGTTCATAGGTCGATGCTCAACCATTGAGCCACACTGGCCAGGCAGACTCGCCTCCTCTTGAGCCCAACATGTCCTTGACACTCCAGCTCTGATCTAGGCCCCTCTCCCCGAGCCCC